ATCGGAAGAACTCGAGCTACTTGAAGAGGAACCATGCTGCTGGCCCCCGTGGTTGAGACTGCAGCGAGCAGGCAGCGAGATGGTGCAGGGGACGCTCCCGCGCTGGCACTGAGTGAAGAGGATGAACATTTCGTCAGTCTGCTGCACAATCCTACCCCCCAAATCCATAAGGTTAGGGGTTTTCCTCTTTTTAAATTGCTCTTTGAAGGAAAAATGAATCTTGCCCTCAGAGGGAACTGGCAGACAATGCTCTATTAAAAATAAGGGTGAACATGAAACAGTAGATCAAGCTAAAGACTGACAGCCAAAACTTCTTCCGCAGTTTGAAGGAAGCTCTGAGGAAGGCTCAGCGCAGCCCTCCCGACAGGACGGCGAGGACACACACCCCAGCGTGCTCGGGAGGAGGAGATGTTCCCCAGGAAAGAGGCTTCTAACCACGCAGACAAGAAGATCCAGTGAATATGAACGTGTTTATGACGGCAGACGCTCTGCCTTCAAAAGAGATGGAAGAACTTCCCAACTGAAGTTGGGTCCAAGAGGTGCTGTAGGGCCAGAGATGAACTGCAAGCCAGGGCACGATGGAGAGGATGAGCTGGGGGAGGAAGAAGGCAAACCAGAGGTCTCTGACGTTTGGCTTCCCTCGTGCCTGTTTTCTGGGAGCCAGGTCCATAAATCCCACCTCTAAAGAGGAAACCTATACTCTGTAAGTGACTTGGAGACAGAAAACGTACCCGTGAACAGCGAACTCTGTGACATTTAGCCCTAATTCACAGAAATGACCCATCCCCCTTTTGCTGGGTCCAGCACCAACAGGATGAAGCCGTCGGAAACGCCAACATCCGCGGCAGAACCTCCTCGTTCTGCTCAACCCGCCGCGATGCTGCGAGCGCTGCCTCTGCCCGTGCAAACCAGCGCCGAAGCGCTCTGCAGGCAGCAGGTCTCATCCGGGACTGGCTTTCCCTTCCCAACGACTATCAGCTTTCCAACATATCTGGGGAAAGCATTTGCTGCGCCTAATATTTGCTATGAGAAGGATTTTGGTGCACTTGTTCATTACCTTGCAGATATGTTCACTAAAAAAAAAAAATATTTGTGAAAGCTGTATCAGTGTTTAAGGAAAAGTATTTGAAGACAACAGTTTTGTTCTTACAGGACTTAAAGTTTCCTTTCTGCTTGTCCACAAAATCAAGTTCTAAAAACACAGTGGCCGACTTTTCTAAAAGAAATCACTGCTTCCAGTTTCTGAGTTGAAATGCCTTGACACCAAACTGATTTTCAGAAACCAGATACCTATCATTTCCTGGAAACCTCCCCACTCCAGGCATCTTAGATGATGTACGATCAAACAGTGTAAAGAAAACAAATGTGAACCCAATGCCACAATATGTTGTTAAATTTTTAGCACTGGCATAGTATGAAGAGACCCAAATGAAGACACCTTCTACAGACAGAAATCATAGCAAAAGTAAAATTAGATTTACTGATGACTTGAAAAAGATCCATGCAAAACCTTTTTCTTGTGAATAATCTTAAAGCAGCACAGTTTGGAAATACATTCCTTATCTTCTCTCTTGATGCACTGCTGTGCCAGAACGCTATCTTCCTAAGAGATCAGCAGCTGAGCACCTCACACGTTACCACAAACTAACGTTTCTAGTGTAGGCGAATACCCATTTTGTATCTGGAGACGTTATTGTCTGGAGAATGGCAGAAGATGCGCAGTTCACTGTATCCCTACAGCTAAAGGGTGAGTCAGTGAAGGCAGCAGATTTGAAACAGAAAAGCAAGCGAGCGATGGCCAGGAACCCCGTTAGCCCCAGGAAATGGCAGGTACGCAGAGGTTCTGCAATAGCTCTAGTAAAGAGGTCCCTCTCCGTGCGAGGGGGTGGAGGATTTCACCTCATCCCCTCTGCACCGAGTTGCTAAAACGCAAAGGCTCTTCGCCCGCCTCCCCGTCAGCAGAGCCGCAGCCTGCCCGTGCCCTTCCGCTGCTCTGCGCTGCTCTGGCACTCGCAGTCCCGTTATTTTTTACGGACTGATTTCCTAACGGCTTCCCGAACAAACTGAAGACTTTCCATTTGCTGCCAGTCAAAATGAGCTTTAAACTAATGTGTTTGAGCGCTGATCTAAAGTAACTGTAACACCTTCACTGTATTTATATACATGGGAAAGGGAAAACACATACTCCTTCCACTGACCTTGAAGTGGACAGATTTTATTGATTTAATTAGATTCTTTAACTCTGTGTTTCAGCAGCTTTCTTGGCAAGCTGTGGTTATTTCATCTTTTCCTTCCAGGGAAACCAGAGTTTGATTCTACCTCCTCCTACACAGAATTTCAACTGCATAGGGTCCAAAGGGCCACACATGACATTTTCTCCGCTGGACAGACGCTGGCATTGCTACTGCGGGCACGCAGGGTTCAGAAATGCTCCTACCCGACCCAGGCTCGTTTTTAGGATATCACCAAAACCTCACTGGAAGAAATGCCGCAACACCTTGCTGCACGTTCATCACTCTTGGTACAGCAGTGATGTTCGATGCAGGACGCGAGGTTAACAACCACCTATTAACCAGTGTTTATTGCCAGTGTTATCAGGCGGAGGCTATGCCCGTCGCAGGGACAGGTCCCCCCTCCTCCCACCAGCAGCAGTCATCGGGAAGTAAAACCTTTGCACCTTTACACTGATATTTATCTTAACTGACACGCAGGGCTGCTTAGGCTTAGTTAAGCTGATGCTTGTGCCAGATGTGCTTCATTAATGGGGAAAGGGGAAGGGGGCTAACACTTCCACCCTTCCTGCGGACCTCCTGAGGACCACGCAGCACTCCCAGCAGCCACCCGACGCCTGCTGCTGGGCTGCCCTGAGGGCAGGGACAGAGCGAGGTTTGCCTGCTCGGCACCAGAAACACCCGCTGAGACGCGCTGCTTCGGCTCTCGGCCTCAGGCAGCGTTCCTCCTCACCGCCGAGCAGGCTGTGCCGCGGCACCGCAGCGGCCGGTCAAGCCCTCCGGTCTGCTCCCATTGCACCTCGCCAGCAACGGTGTTCATTAAACTGCCTTCAGTCTCCCAACAGACTGTGCGAAGATCTTTCTGTTTCGATAAAAAGAACTACATCCTGCTGCTTTAAATGGCTTGCGGTTTTTTTTCCCCATTACTTCTCCCCCCGTCC